GGTGAGGAATAGGGTGCTTGAAATTGAGATCATGACACGAATGTATTTATGGTAAAGATATGGCTAGGATATAACCGAGATAGTGGATAGCTGAGGTAGGATAGAGGACATAATCATGGAATAAGAGGTCAGGGAACTGAGAGTCCAGGAGATTGAAAGGGTCATCTGGTGACTATTGAAGTCACCAGGCTTACAGAAGGAGTAGTGTCCTAAAGTGTAATAATGAGCAGAGACATCTTTAAGCAATGAAGGTGAATGACCTGGAGGCAGGAATTTAGTCGCCTGTAGACAGCTACAAGTGGGTATTATAGTCAGATAAAATTGGACCAAAGGTTCTTCTGACCATGATGGAGTAACAGGATTTATCTTTCATCTTAAACAGTAAAAAATAAAAATATATAAAACTAACTAACTAAATAAATAAATAAATACATTTCAAAGTAGACAACAGGTAGGGTAGGACAGTGCTCCCTGTGATTGCTTCAGTTTACTGCCGGGAAAGAATTTCCAGGCAATAGTGCAGAAACTGGAGCCCAAGCAAAGCCCTGCAGTTTCAGTGGAGGAGACACAGTTGAGAATTTAAGAGGCCAACATAGCTGGAATTCTTAAGGTAAAATACCAGAGGGGAGGAACCTTCACAGAAAGTATTAGGAGTTCCTCTTGAGTCTTAACAGAGAACTGATCAGCAGATACATATGAGGAAATTACCTGAGACTAGAGAAGGGACCTCCTAAAAGTGGGCAACTCACATAAGGCTGGGAATAATTCACACTCCAACAGTTGGAGTGGAAAAACCTCTGTAAACATACTATATATGTACAAGATGGTAGAAGGAAGCGTGAGCACATTAAGACACAGAAGACATAAAAATGACTAACGTTGAACTTCCAGAGATGAAAAATATAGTCAGGTCTGAGATTGAAAAAATATACTGTGCAGAATTTAACAGCAGATTAAACATGCAGAAGAAGAGATCAGTGTGAACTTGAAGATACAGCAATAGAAACTATCCATGATAGAACACAGAGAAATAAAGACTAAGCAATCTAAACAAAAAAGTATGTGCATCAGTGAGCTGTGGGACAATTTTTAGTGGCCTAATATATATGTAATTGGAGGTTCAGAAGGAGAAGAGAGAGGTAAGCAGGGAGGGCATAAAGTGAGAGGGGATAGTGCAGGAAAAAAGGTTTTTGAAGAAATAATGGCAGAAGAATTTCTAAACTTGATAATATCTACACACCCACAAATCTTAAGAAATTCAGGAATCCCAGCAGAAGAAATATGAAGAAGACTATACTGAACCACATCATAAAGATTTTAATAAAGAGAAAAAATTTTAAAGCATAAAGAGAAAAAAGAGGGTAGTTTAGGGCAGTGAGGTTATCAATGATCTGGAAGTGGCAGGGGAAGCTGTGTCCTCAGGCAAGAGGTTTCAAGTTTCAGCTCAAGTAAGATGGTAGAGAGAATGTTTGGAGGAGGTTAGGGATTCTACTGCTTGATGACTGAGCACTCCAGAAGGCACAGTGGAAGGTTTCAGGGATTGGGTGGTTGGCAAAGACGAGGTCATGCTAGGGGATATGTAAAGCTGTATTTGAATAAGGATGGCCTGTAAATCTTGAATCTTTGAAGTCTGATGTAAATAGGAAAAACAGACACAATGTCATTAATACTAATAATCTCCAAGGCAGATTGGGGTAGCAAGGAGTGAGTGCTGTGTGTAGGGAGAAGGGCCTGTGGCCAGCAGAGCTGTCTTCACTCCAGCTGATGGAAGTGTGGAGCCTGGGAAGGGTGGTCTTACCAGATGAGCTTTGTTCCTGTAGCTGATATTCCATGCTTCCACTGTGTGTGTGTGTGTGTGTGTGTGTGTGTGTGTGTGTGTGTGTGTGTGTGTGTGTGTGTGTGTTTACACCCAACAGATCCCCAGATGATCTTTGTTCCTGTAGCTGATATTCCATGCTTCCACTGTGTGTGTGTGTGTGTGTGTGTGTGTGTGTGTGTGTGTGTGTTTACACCCAACAGATCCCCAGATGAGCTTTGTTCCTGTAGCTGATATTCCATGCTTCCACTGTGTGTGTGTGTGTGTGTGTGTGTGTGTGTGTTTACACCCAACAGATCCCCGGCAAAAGGAGTTACCTCAACTGAAAGTAAGTTTCCTAGTATCTGGAGGCCATGTTTTTTGGTTTTTTGTTTTGTTTTTTCGAGTCAGAGTCTCACTTTGTCGCCCAGGCTGCAGTGCGGTGGCACACTCACAGCACCGCAGCCTTGACCTACTAGGCTCAGGCGATCCTTCTGCTGGGCTCAAGCCATCCTTCTGCAGGTGCGTGCCACCAGGCCCAGCTAATTTTTGATTTATTGTAGACAAAGCTCTCACCAACTTGCCTAGGCCGGTCTCAAACCTGTGGACTCAGACAGTCCTCTCACTTCAGCCTCTAAAAGTGCTGGGATTACAGACATGAGCCATTGTGACTGGCTAGAGGCCATGTTTTAATAGAAAATTATTTTTACTTTCTTTTTTTTTTTTTTTTTTTGAGTCAAAGTCTCACTCTGTTGCCCAGGCTGGAAGCAGTGGCACACTTACGGTCACCCCAGCATCAACCTGTTGGACTTCTGCAATCCTTCCACCTCAACCTTACAAGTTTCCAAGTAGCCAGAACTACAGGCACACACTACTACACCCAGCTAATTTTTGATTTATGGTAGAGACAAGGTCTCATCAAGTTGCCGGGGCTGGTCTCAATCCCGAGGGCTCAGACAATCCACTCTCTTTGGGCCTCCCAAAGTGCTGGGATTACAAGCTAAGCCATTGAGCTTGGTCTTACTTTCAGTGATATTTGTTTTCTGAAATTGCTTGGTTGCTTACCTTACTTGCAAACAAATTCTGTGGAAAAATAAATATATAAAATATAAGCCTTGTAGTCCCAAATTTATAAAATTCTGTTCAGTGTCTTGTATTCTATCCAGTACCACCTTGTAAGAGCAACGTTTCATAATTTTAGAATATTTATGACCGTGTATGTACTTTTCATTAATTACACTTTATTTCCTGTGACTACAATGTGGTTTTAAAATCTGTGTTCTGTTAGTAGAAGCAGTAAATGAGCAGTGTGTATGCATTACTTGTTATCAAGAAGCACAACTCTCTCTGTGGTATTCCTTCTGCCAAATTGTATTAATCATATTCAGATTATATAAGAATATTATTAAGGAACTCAGTTCATATTGCAAATTATCCTGAACATAGCGTGTGTGCCTGATCTAGATCTTAAGTTTGTTTTCCTTGCTATATTTGGTTTGCATAATTATAATTTTGTTGACTTTCAATTTCCTCCAAGCAGAGAAGTCCTTTGAAAACCAAACATTTGACCAGGCTCAGTGGCTCAGCCTGTAATCCCAGTGCTTTGGGAGGCTGAGGTGAGTGGATTGCCTGAGCCTGCAGGTTCGAGACCTGCCTGGGCAACTTGGTGAGACCTCATCTCTACAATAAATAAAAAAAAAAAATTAGCCAGGCATGGTAGCGCGCGCCTGTAGTTCCAGCTACTTGGAAGGCTGAGATGAAAGGATCACTGGAGCCCAGCAGGTCGAGGCTGCAGTGGCTGGGAACAGCCACTGGACTCTAGTCTGGGTGACAGAGTGAAACTCCAACTCAAAAAAAAAAAGAAAACCAAACATTTAACCATCTACCCTCTGCCGAAAAAAGAAAAAGAGAAAACTCTGGTGGAAAAAAAAAGAAAAACTGCATTAATCAGTATAGGTATAGTCTCTGTGTGAAATGGTTTTAAGATGATGTTGAATTTGGGAGAAATTTGAAGGAATGTGGTCATCTTTGCCATAGACTTAGTATGAACCATGTGTGACATGTGGCTGCCTCAAACAGTAACATAGTATTAGTTTAGTATTTTACAAAGTATACAATTTCAACAATAGGAAGAAAGAGTTCTATCGTATTACTCTGCCATAGCTAGAATATTGTGTCTATTTCTGATTGCGGTGTTTATATACTTTTATTTTTTTATATTTGTATATTCTCTTTGCCCTCCACATGACTAATCACTGGCACACGAAATAATTTTTTTTTTAATTGTTTTATTTTATTTCAAATTCAAAGGGTACATATGCATATTTGTTACATGAGTCACACACTTTTAAAAATAATTTATTGTATTTAGAATCCAAAGGGGAAAAAAACTATCTGATCCATATTATCTTCTAAAGTCCTAAGCCATGATTTTATTTATTTATTTTTATTTTTATTTTTTTGAGTCATGATCTCATTCTGTTGCCCGGGCTGGAGTTTTGTAGCTCGATCACAGCTCACTGCATCCTTGACCCCCAGGGTCAAGCCATCCTTCTGCCCTAGCTTCTCAAGTAGCTGGGACTACAGCTGTGTGCCACCATACTCCACTGTATTTTTAATTTTTTTTATAGAGAGGAAGTCTCACTATTGTTTCTAGGCCAGTCTTTAATTCCTGAGCTCAAGTAATCCTCTTGCCCCAGTCTTCTAAAGTGTCAGGATTACAGGCGTGAGCCACCACAGCTGAATCTGGGCTCTTTATTTTTTTTTTTGCTAGTATCATTCTATAATGAAACCCATCTGCTAATCAAGAAAAATTAAAAGATCATTATTAATAATCAGAGTTCTAAGGGACCATTTCCTATGACCCTTTAACAAGTATTAGCTTGTACTGATTATTAGATAAAATATGTAGTTGGCCACTTGTAATTTAAAAAAATTTTTAAAGCAATAATCTGACATCATAGGGACAGTTTAGAGTTTTTTGATTAGCAACTTGCATTTGAAAATTTGAATTTTTATATTAGAGATATAAAACTAAAATATATAGTCTTTTAAAATATTGTCTGTATTTTTATTATATCTGAACAAAACATTGTAGACATCCATTTTGAAGAATTATTCAGGTGCAGCTGGTCTATTAAAAAAGTAAACATTGGACTTACTTCAGAGAAAATAGAACATAATTCATATTTTTGTTTTGTTTTAGGTCTTCGGATAACTGTGCTCCTGACATCTTTGCTTATGGTTTTAGGAACTGGTCTAAGATGCATACCTATATCAGACTTAATGCTTAAAAGAAGGTAAATCCTCTAAATATCTTAAAATATTTCTCTCACATTTTTTCTCTCTTTTATTCTGAATATATTTGTTTGTTTATAAGTTTTTTAGTAAACATTTGCATTTTTAAGATCAGTAGAGGGTTATATTTACAGAAGCATTTTTTTTTTACACTACATGATGATTAATTTAGTGGACATGTATCAGTCATCATATGGAAGATACTATACTAGTTGTGAAAATAAAAAAGAGCAAGTTAATCTTCATAACATCCAGGAGTTATAATCACCATGAGAAAATAATGGTATAATATATGATTATATAATAGTATAGTTAATGCCACGAAAGACATAAAATTGCCCCAAAACACTAAGAGAGAAGTTTTGGCTGCAGGTACCAATAAGGGGAGTTCGTGAAGGAGATGATAATTAAACTAGGCATTGAATCATGAGTAGAATTTTGATAACTATAGTCAGGGGAAGAATATTCCAGGGTAAGGGAATAGCAGGAGTGAAGGCATGGAGGAGGGTTAAGCCTAGGCCTATTCTGGGATGGGTAGGTAGCTTCATTTGTATATAGCAGTGCAGTGTTTCTACAGCTGAGACCATGGATTTATTCTTAGGGGATGCAAGGTGTATAAAGATTTTAAATTTTTGTTTTTATCTTGGTTATAATATGAAAAATTATTTTACCAGTAATAATCTACAATTTTTATTGACTAGGATGTCAATTTCTTGAATTAGTGTTGCTCAAACTGGGGTCCTTGGATGTGACCTTGAGAGCCATTGAGAAATGTTTCTCTTTCAGAAGGACCCATAAATACTCAAGTTTGAGAGATACCCATCTATAGATTAAGGTGGAAGAATGGGATATAAAGAGATGAGGTTAGAAAAAGGTGTTCTGAAGCCGGGCTCAGTGGCTCAGCCTGTAATCCCACGCCTTGGGAGGCTGAGGTGAGTGGATTGCCTGAGCCCGCGAATTCGAGACCCGCCTGGGCAACTTGGTGAGACCTCATCTCTACAATAAATCAAAAAAAAATTAGCCGGGCGTGGTAGCGTGTGCCTGTAATTCTGGCTACTTGGAAGGCTGAGGCGGAAGGATCACCGGAGCCCAGCAGGTCAAGGCTGCTGTGGCCGGGAGCGACCCCTGCACTCCAGTCTGGGCGACAGAGTGAAACTCCAACTCAAAAAAAAAAAAGAAAAAGAAAAAGGTGTTCTGATTATGAAGGATCCTGCAGAATTGTGCTTTCCTCACCAGATATCTGAAAGCTACTTAAATTCTTAGTCAGAGGAGTGATATTGTCAGACCTGAGTTAGGCACTTCTGATAGAGCGTGTAGGATTGGTTGCAGAGGGTAGAGACTGCTAGCAGGAGACCAGGAAAGATAAAGATAAAAATTCCTATCTCTCAGAGTTTACATTCCAGTCAGAGAGACCAGCGATGAACTAGATAAATAAGTAAAGTATACAGTATGCACTGTGGAGGAAAAAAACAAAATAGGAAAGAAGGATTTGAAATGGTGAGGGAAGAGTGGTAAGATTTCAGAAAAGTAAAAACCTTACTGGAAATAGAACCTTTTGGGATAAAAACCTGAAGGAAGTAATGGACAGCGTGATTCTGGGAGACAACCATTCCGCACGAGAAAATCACCAGTGTAATGGGTGGGAGGGGAACAAGCCCGCCTGGCAAGGAGGTTGGTGCAGCTGGAGCCGAGAGAGTTTATGGGGAGGGTAGTCAGAAATTAGGTTAGAGCAGTTACGGGGTAGTGGTGGGAGTTGGGACCAGATTCTTTAAGACCTTGTCAGCTCCTTCCTATAAGAACTTCAGCTTTTCCTGGGTTAGGAAATCACTGGAGGTCTTGAGCTAAAAAATGCCAGTGTCCCAGGCTGCTCTCCTGAGAACAGACTGAAGCTGGAGGTCACAGGCATAAGGAAGGAGACCAGTTGAGAAACTAGTGCAGTAAACTGGGTTAGGGATGATGGTGGCTTGGCCCATAGTGGCGGCAACGGTGGTGGAGCAAAGTGGTCAGATTCTGTTGTTTGGAATATTACATCAAATGGAATCATATTCTGGTTATATTTGGTTCATTTGCTGATGGACCAGATGTGAGGAGTAAAAGAAGGGAGTCCAGGGTGACTTTATGCTGTGGGAAGTTGTGGGCATAGGAAGAATGGCACAGATGTGAGAAAGAACACAAGAAAAAGAGATTGAGCCGGGCTCGGTGGCTCAGCCTGTAAAGCTGTGCCTTGGGAGGCTGAGGTGAGTGGATTGCCTGAGCCCGCGGGTTCGAGACCCGCCT